CGATATCGGGACCGATGAAAACCTGTGTCTCTACGTAGCCAAATTATGTACATCTTATCTTCAAAGCACCATTTGCACGGATCTTCCGTACTAGTTGTGCTACTTCTAACCTTCATATTGTATTTCATTGTTTTTCCCTTTGACGCCTCCCGTGTATTTCCGCAGTGGTGTACCATTTACTTTATCTAACATCAAATCTATCTCCTGGCTATTCGATGTATTTATACCGATGAACATCTCTTCACATACAAATAGACTACTGATAAATTTTATCAGTAGAACACGCCACAATATCGTTAATTTCATCAGCTTCTCATCAACTAAGTACGGCATTAAAAACAAGAATTAATGAAGTTGGTGTACAGAACATTTTTAATATAGTTGCAAATGTGAAATGATTTTAGTTAGCGAGTGACTCTAAAATTAATAAGCAGTGCTCAGAAATTACACTCACATCACTTTTGAACAGAAGGCTCCAGTTTACCGACAACAATACCAGAAAATGATTAGTGTTTGGATACAATGGAAAGGGAGTTGCGTAATAAAGACACGAGGTGAATAAGCAGATTAAAAGTAAATAATGAGTTGCATAACACGATAGTGAGTTTAACTCAAATCATAGAAATAAAATGAGTGCAAAGTAGCATTATAGCGAAAGGGAAGAGTTCAGAGCCAAAGAATTCGTAATTAGATAAAAGGGAGAATAAAAGATATAGAGTTACCAGCGTAAGTAAAGACTGATAACTGCCTCTTTATGAATGCATAAATCAGCTTTCAAGCGTTTGATAGCAATCGCTTCAGCAAATTTCTGGGGAGAATTAAACTCTATATCGTCTACTGATATTTTTAAATGATTTCATGTAGTCTACTTCATGATTTGTATCAACGGGATGTCTAGCAACAGCCCTTTTGAACGCATCTGTTTCCCTTGAGACGTAGACTCCAAAATTGAAGTCTTTTTTCTATACATTAACCTTTGTTATTTTTATTTCGATTAATTTCTCTGAAGAAGTTCGGGTCAATTCACCGAAAGAAGCATTGAAATTGCTCATTTCAATTTCACTGAGATTTTAAAAATATAATTTTTACATATGTCTACTTCTCACTTAGTGCCCAATTATTTTGGAACTATTTGGTCAAATCTTGATCACAGTTTATATGAATTATAACATTATTTGTTTTGCCACTTGATACTGAACTATAATTATAATCATAAACATTTCAATTGTATTTCAAGCTACTATTATTTGATGTATTTTTAACACCTTTTTTTAAATTTCCTCATGGGAAAGAGGTTCCTAAAACTCATATATATATATATATACCTTTGTATAGCCGAATAAAATAAATTCGTTGAAAAGAGTCTCTTCACTGAATATATTGTGCTCTTAATTGGGAATAATCAGAATTATCGAATTATTGGAGAAAAAGTGAAACAGTAACAAGATCCTTGCTATTTTTCTAATTCATGGAAAATTCCCATTGCAGCATATAGAAAATCAAAACAAGTGATTCAATAAAGAGACTTTTTACAACGAATTTATTGTCAACCTGTACAATCAATTCATCTGCTCCTGTTGAACCAAGCATAATGGTTGTTCAACTCGAGTTTTGTCCAAGAGGGTGCAAGAAAACTATCCTGCATGGTTACGAAGAGGTGGAAGTGGAACTATAAGAAGCGTAATCATTGGACATATAATCGATATTTATTATCCTACGTCTATAGCCTCCTTCTTTAAAGTCATATACGAGGCAAAAAGTGATTTTCCCACATCATTATGTATTTGACTCATCTGCATTGCTGAAACTTTGGCTATTGAAATAGAAAAGCCAGAACTCAGAATACAAATATAGTTCTTAAAACCTTTAAAACTTTCATGACCTTATTATTACTATTTCCTTTAATTCCTAGAGGAATATACAGCTTCAGCTGCGCACCTCCATTGCCTTCTGTTTTCTGACAACATTTTCACCTGGCTCCACGTCTTCCCACATGCTTTCATCTCCTCTTCACATGACGTCATCCATGTCACCCTAGCACTGATGACATATTTGCCGCACTCAGTTGATGGTTTGATTTCTCAGAATATGGTCAATCCACCTCCATTTCTTCCTGCTTATTTGTTGCACAATTGCTTCCTGTTGGGTTGGTTCGCTGCCAGAGATCCCACCCTGTTACTGATCTTTTCTGGCCAGCCATCTGATCTTGAGTAGTATTGAGCGAAGACAGCTGTTGATGAAGGTGTGTAGTTTGTTCGAAGTGGCCTTCGTGACGCGGCGCCAAGTCTCTGACTTCACATTGGAGGTGAAAATCAGGATCTTATATTTTGTTGCTGAGTGATGTTGACCTCCACACAGACTTAAGAGTAATGAAAGCTTGTCGTGCTTTCCCGATCCTTGCTTTGATATCCTCTTCAGTTCCGTTGGCCTGTAGTTGAAACGATGCTTCCCAGGTCGGTAGATGGGTGAAGGAGGTTGCTTCTTTCAGATTCCTACCATTTATCCTGACTGATTGTTGTCTGTTGTCCATTGTAGTTGCCGTTTCTGTTGGTCAGGAAACTTCATCACCTCTGTTTTCTTTATTTTCACCTGAATTCCTATCTTTAATGCTTCTTCTGTGAACTTGTTGCTTTTCACTTGCATATCTTCCAGTTTGTGGGAAATCAGACACATACCATTGGCGAAGTTCAGGTCCTCCAAGATTTTTGTGAGAGTTCATTTTATGCCTGTTTCCTCATTGATCGGCGTTGTCTGTCTCATTATCCAATTTACTGCAATCAGGAAGATCATTGGCGATAGTAGACAGCCTTGCCTCACTCCCGTCCTCACTTCGAAGTATTCCGTAAGTTTCCCAATGTGGATTGTTTGGCATGCAGCATTGTCGTACAACTGTTGGATGAGATGTATAATTGTCGGTGGCACCCCGTAGTGGCGAAGTAGTTGCCAAATCACCTCTTGATCGACGCTGTCAAAGGTCTTTTCAAAGTCGATGAAGTTGAGATAGAGAGGTGAATTAATCCTTCAATACTAAAGTATGATAATCCCTAATCATATTTTGGCTGTACCGATGTTTCGTTTTATTTATTCTATTTGTATTCTCTTCCTTGATTACGTCAATTGTTACTATTACTGTTCTCACTCTGAATTGTCCCCTGTATTATTTCACTCGTCCCACTTGTCATTCTAAATCAATTCTGTTTTGCAACGTTAAATTCTGTGTTATCAGATTTCACACAGTTCTACGTAATGTTTTCATTTTTATTTTCTTCGATTTTTAAGTATTGGTCTTGTAGGGATTTGTGTTTATTTGGGTTGGAGGATTTCATCATGAGCTGACAACAGTTAGAGAACTATTAGAAAACCATCAGGGAGTGCTGGACAGCTGTTTCGTCAGCCTAGTTTAGGACTTCTCATCAGTACGCCCCCACCGGGTTTTGATCCCAGGACCTTTCGCTTACAAGACGAGCTCATAGACCATTCAACCACTACTAATCCTACAGTCGCACACCCCTTCCAATTTCTATACATCCTATGAACTATTCTGTATATGACATTAATTGTTTTGCGGCTTGACATTTAAATATGATTATAACCATTTTAATTGCATTTCATACAACTGTTATTATTATTTCACGTATTCACACCCTTTATCCAATTCCCTCACGGGATATAATTTGTTAAAAAAAACCACTTATATATACAATTGTACACAGCTTGATAATAAATTCGTTGTTGAAAAGATTCTCTTCGCTGAACCACTTCTTTTGATTTTCTATAATAACAAGATCTAAAACAATTAGTTCCCTTTATGAATTTAGATAAAGCAATAAGAAGACGTAATTTGTCTGAATCGTGTAATATTGTATTTGCGCAACACATTTCGAACAATCTGATCACACACGGACTTATCATAGGAATATATGTAAGAAAGACGTGTACATCAAGCTACCCTATATGAGACATCAAAGCAGCTTGATAACTAGACAAAGGCTGAACGCTGCTGTTAAAAAGACTTTTTATGCAGCTAATATCATAATATTAGAGAATGTAAAGCCATTATATCTATCTAAGCCCTTCGAACATGCGAAAAATGACGTCACATCCCACTGTATTTACCAATTTCAATGTACGTGTGGCCACACACACATACATTGGGAGGACTCATCGATCTCTGCAAGTAAGGGCTGGCTTCAAAGCATATTCCAAAATGGCTCCAGAAACAAATGGAATCATCAGAACCTATTAACGGTGAGAACAGGAGACCTAGCTCTTCTATTGCGAAACATATTATAGAGACAGGTCATAAAATTGATGTTAACAGATCTTTTAAACCTATCTATAAAACATTTTTGGGGCGTATCCTAAAGTTTGTAGAAGCCCTAGCAATTAGAAAGTTCAAGCCACGTTTATGCGTCCAAAAACAATTTGTCATCACATTAAACCTTCCTTGGTAAATTTTGTTTTGATACCATAGCAGATGTACCTCTGCTATTTGTTTTAGTGGTCTTCATTGTTATTTTGACGTTGAATATGCCCTTTTAACTTGACCTAAGTCTATTTTTCTCACCTCTTACCTCTTTATTAATTTCATATATATGTATTCCTATGACAAGTCCGTGTGTGATGGATCAGATTGTTCGAAATGTGTTGCGCGAATACAACATTACACATTCAGACAAATTACGTCTTCTTATTGCTTTATCTAAATAACAAGATCATCCTATTTTCAGTACGCATATAAGCGCTTCAACTAACTCTCTCTTTCTCTCTCTCTCTCTCTTCCTTCTCCTACTGTTAATAAACCAATCAAGTCATAGAAAGATAGACAGTAGGTAATTATTTTATTTTATTTGCTTGCCTAGTGTGTTTCTCTCTTTTTTTTCTATATTCCTGTCTCTCCCCACGTTATGTATAGCTTAGTTGTAATGACAGAGGAGTGAATTTAAAATAGACAATATTCAGTTTACGCGCATCCATAACACATAAATCTGATTGGTTATTATATTAAGTTATATTATACTTCTATTATTTAATGAGTGTATTTAAAATAAGTAGATTATTTAGAAGAAAACTAAAGTATTACCTTTAAAATACCCCCAACAATAATAATTACCGCCAAACAAATCTCCACATATATTTAAACAAATAGTCATTAGTCAACAATATTCAATAAAAATCAATCATATGTCAATATAGAAATGTTTGAAACATTGAATGATTTCTGTCAGGCATCTAAATTCTTGATGACTGACCAACTAGAACACCAGTGTTCATTACAGCAGTATGATAAAGAAACTATGTCAAATTTAAGTAGTCTAATGAATATTTATTATGCATTCAATTACTATTATAACAATAACAGCAGTCATTACATTGATAATAGTCAACAGAAATCAAATATTGAGCCTGTAATGATGACCCCTTTCATAACAACACTTAGCCCATATACAGAATATCCAATCTGGTCGTCTATCCTGATTTCCGCGGCTGCAGCAGCTGCAGCTTCTACTAATAAACTGACGCCTACTTTATCATCTTGTGTAACAATGCCATCAACATCAGGAGAACAATGTGATACCCTTCTGTCTTTACCTTCATTATCATCGATTATTTTAGCTAATAATGAATTACCAAAAGAGGTAGATATGATGAAAGGGAAGTATGAAAATGAATTTCTAAGTAAATTCTTTAATTGTGCATTAATGGAGAGTGAAAATTTCTGCTGTAATGAAACAGAACAATTGAATTTATCCTCATTATCGTCATTATCGACGTCATCATCCACTTCGTCTTCTTTATGCTCGACTTCATCAGTCTCCTCCTCCTCATCATCATCATCATCATCGGGATCAAAATTATCAGATACCAAAAGAAGCAGTGGATTTTTTGTCAAAGATTTAATTAATTCAGATCACTGTGAGCGTTACTCAAGATATGACGACAGTTGTATGAATGATTGTCATCATGTGAAAGAAGGCAAGAGAGTCAGTGAACAGGATCCTAAGGACGAAGAAGAAGAAGAAGTCATAGGTGAGTGTGATACCACCATGAAAGACAATAGTAAAAACTGTGATGACGATCATGTTTCAAACAGTTTAAAAAATTTATTTAACATGAATGTAAAAAAGGCGAGTTCAACTGTCAAATTCACTACTATATCACAAGATGCGCATAAAATGAACTGTGCTAAAAAAGCATCAAAGGAAGAGGTGAATCGATTAAAATCTAACCGTCATAATAGTCATAATAGAAAGTTGAATTCCCGCCATCGGACAAATGAGGCTAGTTCATCATCGAATAAATTGACTACAAATGATGCAGCAAGTAGATTACATTTACCTGCATGGGTATTTTGTACAAGATATTCTGACCGTCCATCATCAGGTATGTTTTTTTTTAAATGAGAAAGTTTAAATTATGTTGTCTAATTCTTTTTATTTTACTATTTAGTGTTCTGAAGTAAATTATGCTCTGTCCAGTAAACTGTTAGTTGTGTGAGTGAAACACAGCTGTTAGTGTCCTCTTGGGATCTGCGTGGAACATAGGGCTTCAACAGCCATCTGGACTTGAGTATCGAGAAAGCGAAGGCATTTGCTGATAAAAGTCTCCACCAGCCTGTAGAGAATGCCTTTCGTAACGCTCGCCTCAAGTCTCCGAACCATATACAACCGCTGATAGTCTTAACATTACTGTTGTAAATCTAAATTTTGTTCTTTATGCTGAATGCAGCAGATTTCCACTCTGATTTCAAATTATTGCAGATCTGTCTTAAATTTCCGATCATACCTGTGACATACTCATCTGTGCCGTCTTTAACTCCATTATAGATAAGATTTTATTTCGATAAATCACACAGTGTTCGTTGTACAGTAATATTAACTGATGACCAAGTTTCGAGGATAATCAATTGCTTATAATCATATCAAGTCACTCACACAGCTTTTTTCCTTCATTTATATACATGAGTGGAATCGGTGATTAGACATTTGAATAAAAATCAATATGGGATAATGTACTTTCAGAAATAATAATAATATGAGTGTTATTGACCAATTACAATCAGATGGGAAATAAGAGGAGTGTTTTGTAGTCATAATAAGTAACTTGTTGGAATGTTGTGATGTGTTTGAACTGAAATAGAATTTTGAGATTATTTATTATCCTCTTCTGATTTGACTGACTGGTGGTAATAATATCTTCCATATTTCTGGTATTTGTGTTGAGTCATTTCTGTTACATGTGTTGGGTGTAGACTCAATGAACCAGGCAGGATTCAGTAATTAATCTCTCTCTCCACTTAGATTACTTCTTAGAATCTTAACCCTCTCCCACCCACCCTATTGTGTGGTTGTGTGCTGATGGATGTAGTGCGGTCGGTGAGCTGTTTTCTAAATTACTTATCTTTTCGGGTCAACCATTCTTACCTTAGCTAAATTCTTATGTTCCGACAATCTGATTACCCCGATCTACTGGTCTGACCTGTATAGTTGACTGAACACACAGTCATTGTAAGGTATTTTGTAAATCATATTATTTTGTCCAATTGGGTCCACCGAGTCCTTTAGCCTACAGAGCTTGTCCTGCCTGAGTGAGTTTGAAGGTTTGGATGCCACCCTACTTCCTGCTTTATTGAGAATCTTACGAAGGAGCCTCAGATGTCCCTACTTTATAAGGTAGAACTGTGGATACCTTATATTCCTCCTTATTTATGTTATCATTATTAGTTTCACCATTATTTTTATTTTGGCCTTTTTCAACCTTCCTAATGAATTTTAAAGGACAGTTATTTAACACGAAATCCTCTTCTATCTGTTTTATTTCATCCTTTAAGTCTTTTCATGTGCTACTTAGTTCTACTGCTCGGTTTGTTAAACACTTAACTAAGCCTGTCTTAACAGTTAACGGATGAGATGAATTAAAGTCTAAATATCTATTAGTGGAATGAGTTAGCTTTTTATAAACACCCCTAGTGTGTAGTTTACCTTCTTCTGTTCGTATAACACTGTGTGATTTGTCAGAATAAAATCTTATCTACAATGGAGTACTACTCTACCACAGTGCCCAAGTTTAGTGCCGTCTTTCGTTCAAACGAGGCTACCTAGATAAATGAAAGAGGTGACCTCCCCCTTGCTAGGTATAGGCTCTTTTTAATTACTCCAGAAATTACAATTTATGGTTAATTTTAAACAGTAAGAATAAAACATTTGTACTGTGCCTACTTGTGTGCCACGAGTGCAACTTTATATCCTAACAAAATGAACAAAAAACTATTACCATATGACACCTGGAATATCTGTAGAACCAAGGAATTCACCGGTACAGCAGAAAAGTATTTTTAAAGCATCAGTTTGCACATATTTGATTTGTTTCAAGTTTAATCACCGATCGATGTCAATTAGAGAATCACTGAAAACTAGCAGAGTGTACTGGATAGCAGCTTCGTCCTAGTCCGGAACTCTTCATCAGTACTTAAAATAGCACTTTAAAATTAACCTGATGAAGCTGCCTGAAGTCCTAGTGAGACGTCGTGACCAGTGGGGTCCATCAGGTCGGGTGTGAGGATAACTTATCTTCGATGACATTACTTGGCGGTGGACCTAAAAATCGTGATTTGACGGATCAACGGTTTAATTCCATCTCAGTGTCTGAATGGTAAACAAGCTCATTGCATAACCTAAAGTTCCCTGGTTTGATCTCTTGTGAGTATGTACCGCAGAAGAGTACCAAACAAAGATGAAATAACTGTCCAGTAGTCTTTCCTGGCTCTTAATGGTTCTCCGACTGACACCAGAATGGGAAACTCACGGAAGCCTTCGAAGTGAGGGCGGGAGTGAGGCAAGGGTGCCTACTATGGCCAATAATTTTTCTGATTGCGGTAGACTGGATAATCCGACAGACAGCGAGCAGTGAGGAAACAGGCATAAAACGGACACACACAAAAGAAGAACTTGGAGGGTTTGGACTTTGCCGATGATATATGTCTGATTTCACACAAACTGGAAGATATGCAAATGAAAAGTGACAGGTTGTCAGAAGAAGCATCCAGAGGGGGTAGGTCTTCAGGTGAACATAGAGGAAACAGAGGTGATGAAGATTCCTGGCCAACAGTAACAGCAACAGAAAACAAACAACAATCGGCCAGCATAAATGGGAGAAATCTGAAAGAAACAACCTCCTTTACCTACCCACCTACTTGGGAGCATTGTTTCAACTACAGGTGGACGGAACTGATGAGGATATGAAAGCAAGGCAAGCTTGCATCACTCTCAAGTTTGTGTGGAGGTCAACAGCACTCCTCGGCATGACAATGAGAATAAGATCCGGATTTCGGATCAGAGACTTGGCACAACGTCACGAAGAGCATTAGAGAGAGACTTTCATCAATAGCTGTCTTCGCTCAACACTACTCAAGATCAGATGACCAACCAGAAAAGATCAGCAACAGGGTGGGATCTCTGGCAGCGAACCAACCAGGAACCGACTGTGCAACAAATATGCAGGAAGAAATGGAGGTGGATTGACCATACTCTGAGAAAACGAACCATCAATTGAGTGACATCACATGCCAGTCCATCGCTCGAGCGGAACCCAAGTGAGAAGCAAAGAGTTGGTCACCAGTGCGAGGGTGTTGTGATATGGAAGAAGTTATGTGAAGAGGAGATGAAAGCATGTGATCAGACGTGGAGCCAGGTGAAAATGTTGGCAGAGAACCGAACGCAATAGAGACGTGCGTCTGAAGCCCTATGTTCCTCTAGGAACTAAAGGAAACAACAATAACTATAATCATAACTGATATTAATCGGTGATCGTCGGTGGCACAGTGGTTAGGACTCTCGCCGACCACGCACATAGTCCGGGGTTCGAGCCCACGCCGGCGCACACCTGATATCTATGGTTGGCCTGCAAAATTTGGGCTTCCGATATCCATGCTGAAAATTCCATACTTGTACCAAAAATACAGTGTGGAATCAAGCTGTAAATCAAAAAAAGTTCTTATTTTAGAAAATGGCTAAATAATCACTGCACCAGAAATAATGAATGTATAATCCCATCATTATCAATCAAAAGTGATTCCCAAAATGAGCTGTTGAAGACAAGAAGTGGATGGATTCTTTAATTGAAAAAACAAACAAAGAACTAAACATTTAAAACCAATGGAACGGAACGATTGTTCGCTATAACTGAAATTAAAAGTTCTCATAATTTCTCTTTCTTCTGTTAGACATTTAAGAAGTCATTTATTAAGAGTTTGTCCCCCTTTTTGATTTGACTTGCTTTCAGAGAAAGAGAGAAATTAAAAGAAAAAACTTTAACAGAAAATGCTTGAGGGTAAACTAACTAACTAACTAACTAACTAACACAGGATAGAAGAAGGTTGAATGCGTAGTTGATAACTGTTGAAATGATCTATATCATTATGCGCTGGTCATTCTCATGGGATTGTGTGTGTGTGACAGATGTTATTAAAATGTTGTCAGTTTAACATCAGATGAATTGAACTTTGCTGAAATCAAGTGACTGCAGTATTTACACACACATACTAAGAATATGAGGTAATTTATCATTTGTAATATAAACACAAAATAATTGAGCCAGCAAAGAATATCCTTTTCGATGATTTCCTTCCCTTCTGACTCTACAATTATCTATGTAAAGAAAAGGTGTTGGCGATAATAAAAGTATCGCCAATGATGAGGAAAATTTGGAGAACATATTGAACTTCTTCAACAGTTGCCATCCGGCAATCCAGTTCACACTAGAAAAGGATTCCAACGCAACAATATCTTTTCTGGACGTGCAACTAGCAAGACGCGAACAAGATGGGACACTCAAAAGATCCATTCACAGAAAACCGACATGGAATGGACAACTCATCAACTTTCACAGTTAGGTGCCTATATATACAAAAACGAAATCTGATCCGCTCACTGACTCACAGAATCCACAACATTCGCAGTCCAGAAACTATAGAAGAAGAGCTAAAGACCCTGAAAAGAATCCTCCTTGAAAACGGTTACCCGGAACGTTTCATCACAAAAGCTATGAAGCCCAAAACACAAAAACCATCCACGCTTACTGCCCTTAAGAAACTTCTCTATTTGAATCCACAATTCAATGGAGATCCTTCAGCAGAAATACTGAGAAACCGCCTGTGTCCTTCACTGAAGAAAACCTTCTTCGCAGAGGAACTCAGACTAACTTTCTCTACGAAACCAATGATTCGCACGAACGTGAAGAATAAGCTTCCACTGGGGGCCTCATCAATGTGCATCTACCAATTCACCTGCTCATGTTGAGCTAGGTGTGTCGGCCGTACCCAGTGTTTGCTATCCAAACGAATCAGCGAACACTTACCTTCGTGGTTTTATAAAGGAGAAAGAAGA